ATTATTGTGTAATCGGATTATCGTGTAATCGGATTATCGTGTAATCGGATTATCGTGTAATCGAATTATTGTATAATCGGATTGTTGTATAATATGGTTAGGTTGTGTAGTCTGGATAGGTGTCTATTGTCGTCATATTGGGTTTGTGGTAATAGTTACACGCTGTGTTTTTCGAGTAACTAGCTATCAATAGTCACCTTTGGGGTGATTCTAGAAAACGACTATCTAGGTAAGGGTTACATGCTGTGTGTTTTCGGGTTACCAGCTATTGATAGTCAATTGAAGGAAATAAGGAGGTGCGGTCCTTGTGGTAATGGTTACACACTGTGTGTTTTCGGGTAACCAGCCGTTGATAGTCAATTGGAGAAAATAAGGAGGTGAGGTCCTTGTGGTAATGGTTACACGTTATGTGTTTCGAGTAACCAACTAGGAATAACCATTTAAGGAGTAAAGGTGGCGTTGATGTTGTGGTGGCAATAATCACTTGCTGCTGTTTTGGTTGATCGCCTTACGACGATTCATATGTTGACCCCAATAGAGGAGTTCCTTACTGAGTATTTACTCATCCTATTTTTAAAATGACTTTTTAGGCGAAGCTGTGGCACGGAGGAGGTGATGAGTAGGATGCAAAAGTCAGTCACGGGGCGATTCAAGGATTTTTATGTTTTTTGTTTTTTTTTTGTAGTCTGATTCTGCACTTTTGTTATTAATTTAAACTATGTTGTGGACGCCTAGTTTGTGGGAACTAAGCGGTCAAGCGGTCACATCAGACTTTCTTTTGATTTTAAATTTGTTTCTGCACTTTTGGTATTAATTTAAACTATGTTGTGGACGCCTAGTTTGTGGGAACTAAGCGGTCAAGCGGTCACATCAGACTTTCTTTTGATTTTAAATTTGTTTCTGCACTTTTGGTATTAATTTAAACTATGTTGTGGACGCCTAGTTTGTGGGAACTAAGCGGTCAAGCGGTCACATCAGACTTTCTTTTGATTTTAAATTTGTTTCTGCACTTTTGGTATTAATTTAAACTATGTTGTGGACGCCTAGTTTGTGGGAACTAAGCGGTCAAGCGGTCACATCAGACTTTCTTTTGATTTTAAATTTGTTTCTGCACTTTTGGTATTAATTTAAACTATGTTGTGGACGCTTAGTTTGTGGGAACTAAGCGGTCAAGCGGTCACATCAGACTTTCTTTTGATTTTAAATTTGTTTCTGCACTTTTGGTATTAATTTAAACTATGTTGTGGACGCCTAGTTTGTGGGAACTAAGCGGTTACATCAGACTTTCTTTTGATTTTAAATTTCCTACTTTGTTTTAAATATCTTTAGGGCATTTTTTTTTCTTTTTGTTCTTTTCTTTTTTTTAAGGGGTACCCACACTTAATTTCTAATAAATTATTGCATGGTTTTCATCCTTTTCCAAATAAATCACATTATTTTTTGTAACGGCCAAGACTGCTACTTATATGATAAGTCGGGTCGTTACAAGTATGGCTTATGGTTTAACCAATTCTCGGTATTACTTTGACCTTCGAGTCACATCCTCTAAACCTTGCTAAAGTGTCCAACTATTGATCTCTCTGCCCAAAACCTTAAGACTTCATTTGCATATAGGAAGCCTCATGATAACTCTGTAAAAGTAGAGTCATATCAAGTATTTTTGTATTTAATATGGCACTTGTATTCACCATTTTCTCATTATTTACCTCATTTATTCTACTTATTGAACATGAAATCGTTTATTGCGGTCCAACATGAAAAAAATATGATTTGGCATAAATCGATCTTAATTGTACATTTAAATTGAGTTATGTAGTAAAATTTCAGACATTTATGTTGAACCATGAGGAGTAGCAAATCTGGAAGTAAATGGGGGATAACATGAAAATTTTAAATTCACATCAGCAGTACAAGTGTGTCATTGATTACTGAATGAGATTACCGAATGAGGAATATTATGTGGACAACTTATTCCTTTTCAGCCCTAAAGGCTCCATGAGTAACATCCTATGTGGACAACTTATTCCTTTTCAGCCTTCAAGGGGAACCCATGCTCAATATAAAAGAAAAAAAAGAAGACCAAGAGGAGGGGAGACACACTTTGAGGAGAAAAATCGAATTACACAGCAGCAGCCTCTGTTGCGGTGAACTGCTGTGAAACCAGAGAAGAAGAAGAAAACCCTAATTCAGCAGCTGTTGACAGCAGGAGGAAAAGGAGACCAACAAGGATTGATTAGAGCAAAGAGGTGGACGTGAGAGCTAAAGAGAAGGAAACTTCCATTGACAAACGGCAACAAACCGGTATGACTCTCTATTTTTTTATTCACTTTTCTTATTCCATCAATTTTACATGATGAAGATGCGAATTTCTCTATTTAATTCAGTTTGTATAAATAGCTAAACTTTATAGGGAAAGCGAGAAAGTTTTATATAGTTTAAGTATGTTGACGGTATGATTTTAGTTTATTAAAGAGTTGTTGTTAATGATTTATATGTGTGTTTAATTAGCTACTTTACCTACATAGTTGTTCTCTTATTCAGGAGAAGAGAGGGAGCAATGAAATCCTCTTTAATACTCTAGTTTCATAACAGGGAGACTTGAAGGGTAATAGAAGGGTTAGAATAATTCTTCTTCGAAACCCTTATTAATAGAAAATTATGAAAATAATCACCATTCATGACCCTCGGAGGGCTTGTGAATCTATTAAAAGTAACTAAAATCTACCACAAAACTCAACAACAATCTCAATACGTCAAGTAGAGAAAATTAATCATACTATACTATTGAAGCATACTCAAATAGAAGTATTAGAATGACTATCATAGATACGACGTTTAGTTGGATTGGGAATAATTTCTATATTTTATTCATCGTGAATTCTTTGCTCTGCTCAATCTCAATTCATGGAATCATAGCTTTGGTCGCATTCTTGGAATCTCATTGTGGTTTATCTCCATACAAGCCTATACAATTTTTATCTAAACTGTAGCTCGATACTTTTAAATCACTTCGTAACTTTCACACTTGAAATTGTTCTCAAAATTGACTTTAAATCTCACCGTTAGTACCAAACATTGAGACTACTTTTACTCCTTCCAAAACTCAAAATTTCATACAAGGTACTTAAAAATAGTGAACGTTGTTTAAGTATTTAAAAATACCCAGTAAGTAGCTCCATTGTTGGGTCGGAAAGTGCAATGACATATAATCATGATTCATTGCGGGACCTAAAAATACCCAGCAAGTAGCTCCATTGTTGGGTCGGAAAGTGCAATGACATATAATCATGATTCATTGCGGGACCTAACTTTTCGTGACTATTCCTTGGATTCTTCTTTCTTTCTAGATAGAGTTGGATGCATAGTACTTCTCTATGTAGTGTTCTCGCATGCATGCATGAACCCATTAGTTAGGTTGGTATACATACCCCTTAGGCTTGACTATGAGCTAGCATACTCTCACGCTGTCAGAAATCAATAGAAAGAAAGGAGCGTGTATCATAACATGGTGTACACAACCTTACAAAATATATCGGAGAAGTATCTCATGCCTGCGACATACAACAAGCATGAATTCCCATATTTTCAAGTCATCGTACATGGCTATGATGTACATCATACTTCCATTCTTTTCATGACATAACTTCCCTATGAGATTTGCATATGTGTACATGACATATCTTTCATTATTAACATACATATCTCATCAATGTTTCATAGGCATAATTGTGAACATGATCTGATAACATACATGAGCTGACATATTAGAAATACATGCCTCACATAAGATTCATCCACATAACATAATCATACCATAACATATCATGACATTAGAAATGGCATGTAAATTTGCCACATGATATGTGTCAATCATACAATAGTCAATTCATCAAACCTACCTCGAAAACGTTCAAATAGTAAGTCTAGTTACTTAGTTAGTCTAAGCTGAAGTTACTAAATACTTTTGATGTTAGCCTGATCACGCTCGTAAAAGTCCAACTCCACCTGTGGAGTCCTATGACATGATATTTAGGACTTGAGACAGAGAAAATTTATTGATCTAACTTCTTTAATTAATCCAAATTTGGCTTTAATTAAGAAAATAGCAACTCTAATGCTTCCATACACATAAAAGAACATGGCTTTAGAATGGCTTTAGAAGGGTCAAAAAATGGCATGAAATGGTCCAAAATACCAAGGAGCTAGTGGCGAGCTGCACGCAGGGGTGGCAGCACGAATCGGGTGCAAATCGGTCTTGGGTAGACGTGGGTCAAGTAATGGGCTCTTGAGTTGGATCGCTGGTGGGTGACTGAGCCGTGGGCACACTACTTGGGCGAAAGTGCATTTGGGCTAGGCTACATGGATTATTGGGCTGCGATGGCAGTTGTAGTGTGGACTAGGGTAGTCTGGGTCATTAGGTGTCTCTGGTGTGGGCTAGACATTCGAAGCTAGACATTTGAAATCAGGAAGACGATACTCGAATTTCTTAAGGGAAAATCTCAATTCAGATCTCAATTTTATTAATCTAAATTCTGATTTTTACGCAATAATTTATCGGTGGTCTCCCACGAAATAAACTTTCAATTCTTCAAATACCATTAAAAGTGACCATAATAATTTAATCCTGATGCCCTTAAATCTAACCAAAACAATAAAACTTCTGCTCTTTCGTCCACGTGAGAATTATAAAATTAAAAATAATAAATAAAGTTTTCTAAGAACTTATCAAAGGCAATTTATAGCAATTTTATCCGCTACTTCAACCATGAAAATATTCACTTATGAAGCTTCAAATGGTCATTCCTCAATCAAATCAGCTCATAACACATGAAATAATGGCACAGTAACTTAAGGCTCATCAAGGTAAACAAAAATTACACCAAATTTTTGTACAAATATACAAAACTAATCATGCATTGTGACATTCAAGTTCCTTAAAGTTGACTATTATCCACACACTGTCTTCAATAATTAACAAAATCTACAGCATCTCAACCCTCTTCAATAATACAGTATATTATTATATAAGCCTTTTTGGTCCACCAAATCTGTTAGCAAAGGAACCCAGATTTTGCGATTGGGGGCAATGCTCTATGGAGCCGACATGGAAAATGCCCGAAGACATGCATTATGCATGCACGAGTGCCCAAGCAGATAACCTTCCTATCGTCAATGGGTTATGTACTCGATCTCTGCATGCTCTCTCAACCATTCAAGCACTTTTGCTCCCTCTAGTATGTCTTGTACCTGAATCAATATGAGGTCAGATCAGTTTTCTTTTCATTCCCTGTGCGAACCTAACTGTTTCAACATATCCTTTTCAACTAACACTCAGCAACACATATGGTTAAGAAAAGGCAGATTCTTCATAACAAATCCTCTACTTTTCTCACCTGTTCCTGCACCCGCTCTTCGTCATATTCTTGTTTACTACGTTTAAATTCTGCAATGGAATTTTCCACCTCTTTCATGAGCTCATCTGTGGCCACCTGCAAAGCAGGAAGAGCTTGTTGAAATACTTGCACAAGCTTAAGAATGGACACAACTAGCCATAAATGCCAACCACACATCTTTGAGAAAATGGAACTTAACTAATACTTATTATGCTTATTCAACCTCGTAATTATATTTAATGAAATTAAGACTTCAAGGCTAAATAGGAACGAAATAAGAAAAGAAAGTAGTCTAAGATACAGATACTCATACCTGCAAATTTTCACGTTTAAATATATCTCCCACTGCCAGATTCTGTTTTATAACATGCTTAATGTTGTCCTCCTGATTGTCAAGGTACTCCTTCACAGCCTTCGGACTAGATAGAATAGCCAACTGCTGTTCATTTAATTTCATGTTTGCCTGTGCCACAACCAAGAAACATATGAGACCTGGTACACTACACAGATTTGTGGCCTTCAATTTCAGGGATCTTTGCAGGTTCTGACCTGTATTTGCAATAATTTGGCTCCATATAGCTGTCTACCTTCTTCCTCAAAGATGGATTGAGGAATATCAACTTCCACCATCTGAAAGGTTGTGTCAATTTACTCTACTCAGCCAAATTGTATACCCAAATAAACAAAATCCATGCAAACAAACTCAGACACTCTAACACACTGCCCAGAGGTTCGAATAAGCAACATGAATCTTAGAAAAGATATTTCAGATAGTAAAATACCTTGCAAAGCTGGTCAAGAATTGCATTGTCCGTTGCTTGATCTTTAGCTGTTTGCTCCACTTCAAGGCATCTTTGCAGCAACGCTTCCTTGACCTGTAGAATTGCAGCATAAGATATATATATAGAATGTACTCTTCTTCTCTTTTAAATATCTTGCTTGGGTGCCTTTCATATTGCTAATATGAGCTAGATTGGGACTGGGAGGAAAACTGAGAGCATTATGTTACCTGTTCAAGCGTTGTAGAGCCGGGAAGAAGCTTATCGGCTAGGGAGTCATCCAATGGAGGCAATTCTCTGTAGAACAGTTCCTTGCACTCAACCTAAAATAAAGAAGAGATAAGAGATGAACAAGGAAAATATTATATGTTACAGTGACCAACTATAAATGGAATACATGAATGCTTGCTTAAATGTCTGTTCAGTCGTTGGCAAAGTGGCAGGGTGAACTAGTCTAAGAGCAAATCATCATACATTCATGAGTTTAGCTGTTTAAGTTCAAGTAATAAAGAGTCGATTAAGTCAGAAAAACAAGTATAAATTATAGTCTCCTCATTAGTTTAACAAATTGGCCCCCTTGGGTATCTAATGAATAAGAACTCACCGTGAATTGCGCATGAACACCACGGAGATCTTCCTGTTTCCATGATTCTGGGAATACAAGAGGAAATGATTTTGTTTCACCTCGTTGAATGCCAATTAATGAATCAACAAACCCTGGAAGCACCTTATCACCATCTTCCGTATCAAAATTATAACCTAGACATGGCAAGAAGGAAATGAGAGGAATGCCCGTGACTCGATCATTGCGCATCGACAAAAGTATTCATGATGGGGAGCTTATTCGAACCTTTGCTCTCTGCCGATGGAATCTTTTGACCAACAGATTGGTCTTCACCAATTGTTGTTGCTGATATATCAATTACTGCAACGTCACCAATCTGCACACATTTGTCAAATGGTCAAAATTCTCATACGATATTTTAAGTGTAATTTTCACTTTGCAATGATTAGATGGGAAGCCAATAAATTTTAAACTCTATGATATTAGTAATCCTGCAACAGAAGATCACCATCAAGTTAACATCAATGGTATAACATTTTCATATAGCCTTCAATTCTGCTCTATTTCTACTATTTCAGAATGACTAAAACTGACATAACGAGTAGACAACTTAATTTCATATAAATTTGCAGAAAACATGCCAGAGAAATGGCTCCTTCAGATCTGTACCATTTGATTGCAGTGTAACCTCAATTTCTCTTTCAGAAAAAAACTATGGAGAAAACAAAACAACATAAACGAACAGGCTCGAAAATGGTTTCAACAGTCACCTGTAATCCTCTATCAGTCACAATTCTTAATATACTAAGGGATTTGTGGCGGCGCTTTAATTCCTGCTCAGAAGCTTTTTGAGCATTTATTTCATTGTCTATTTCAACAACCACCTTCAAGTTTCTATATCCATTTTCGGGAACCCATCTGACTTCAGGTGCAATATCAACAACAATGTCATATCTGGATCACAAAGTCACAAAGTCACATGCAAATAACTAGTGCACTGCAATCTTTAAAGCGGAAAAAAGTGAGCAAGGAAAAAAAAAACAGTCTATTACTTGTGGCGTAACTGAAAAGCGCAAGAGAATTACAAGATAAAGGTAAGCTCTGTGCATGTGCAACTGAATTAGCAGAAACTTGCACCTACATCTTAAGAGAACAGAAAAAGATACATATTTGGAAAACCTGAGAGAGCCTTGAGAAGAAAAGGTATCCTCCAAGTCAGCAAATTTAGAGGTGATACGAACCGAGTCTTTCAGTGCCCTTCCTTCTACCTACATCATAAGTGTGTATATATATATATATCAAATAAAACCAAACACCATTCAAATTTTCAAAAGTGCTTTTAATTGGTCAGAACCCTTTTGAGCCTTCAAAAAATCATCCCAAACTCAAAGAGAGCCTAGATCCAATTGCTGCAGCTCCTTGTGCTTCTTGATCGATAAAATATTTTATAAGAAAAGAAAATAAAAAGGTACGGAGAAAGTAAAGAATCGTCAGTTTTAACTTACTGAGGACATTGCATGAGGAAGGGTCCTCTTCAAAATAGATTCTACAATGGCCTTCTGAATATTGTCCTTCCCTACATAACTTTCAAGAATACTTTCTGGAACTTTCTTTCCAGGACGAAATCCAGGGATCTGCTTACAGAAAAACAGAACATATAATTCTCATTCTTCTTCCAAATTAGTTTCTACCATTCCCAGAGCATTTACTTCTTGCACACTAAGAATTTTCCTTTCATAAATAATTATTTAATGTTGTTGAACCCGACATCATTCTTGAAGGATTTTGACATCACAACCAATTAATAGGCGAAGTAAATCCATTAAAATATCACATTGTATAGCAGTAGATATGATCCTAGATTATTACTAAAACAATATCTTCGTAAGGTCTTTTGAGTAGAATCTAAAATCAAATTCACATTGAGTTAGGCTCAAAGCTAAGTATATTATTGTAAATATTAAACTAATGTGGAGATATAGAAGAAGTCATTGTCCGAGGAGAGGATTATTCAAGATCAGGAGTTAACCAGTACAAGATTTCCACTGGCACAACACAGGACAGTGAGGAAGATGCATAGGAGTTATGTAGGTAGTGTTGGATGATGGAAGTCCCACTTCGGCTAATTTAGGGAATGATCATGGGTTTATAAGTGAGGAATACTAACTCCATTGGTACTAGGCCTTTTGAGGAAACCCAAAACAAAGCCAGGAGAGATTACGCCCAAAACAAAGTCTAACAGGTAGCATGTAAGAGGGTAACTAGTAAGTACCTTGGCCTGCTTCATGAACTCAGCAATGGTCCTGCTACGACAATCCTCGCAAACAGCAGGTGGAACTCCGACGCTCAATCTAACCTGAACAGAATATTGCATTCTCAAATAAGGGGAACGAGAATGAGGAAGAATGAATGAATGAATGATTTAAAGAAGAAAACCAGTGAATTTGAAAAGAACTCACTCTGGAATTGGGCTCTTGGGTCTCGGAAATTTCCAGGGCCGCGGGAAGCTTGTCGAGCTTGGGGCCGAGATCGACGGGGGAAGGGGAAGAAGGTGGAGAAGAAAATCTGCAGGAAATCGGGGAGATTTGAAGTGGGTGAAGGAGGTGAAATGGGGGAGGAAGAAAGCGAAGGTTGAGGGAGTTGGAGCGCCCATTCCTCCATGGAAGCAAGGGGGTTTTGGAGAAAGAAGCAGAAATTGAGGGGCGGGATGGAGTGTGGTTGAGAAAGGTTGCGGAGAAATTAGATGGGAAGAGCGCCATGGCCGCTGGGTTACTGCAACTCAGAGTGGAGCCAAACTAACCGAATTCAACTGGATAAAACGTTCACTCAAGTTTCAAGGATGATAAGAGGATAAAGTTGCCGTTAAACCAAAACGGCGTCGTACCAGTCAGGACCAATTATTGTTTTTTTTAAAAAAAAAAAAAAGAAATTAACCCAAATAACAAAGCCCTCACGAAATCTTATTTAATATATTAGATATATATATTAAACTCGATACATAAATTTATTTATTGAATTTGATATATTAATTTCTCTCTCTCTCTCTCTTAGGAGACTCCTACAAACTTTAATGTTGTGTTTTGGTCGAGAGATTTTGTGGAGAAAATTTATTTGTTGGAGAAGTTGGAGCAAGTAAATTAAAAATTCATCTAAATTTTTTCCATATTTCTTCTTGAAAGTTTGGGTAATCTTTAATTTTGTTTAATCCTAAAGAAAGCAAAGCTGATTCCAATGTTTTCGCCGCGCGAATGAAGCATTAATTCTCGACAGTCATGATTGTTGGATGAAAGTGTCCCACGTTGGTTAATTTAGGGAATGATTATGCGTTTGTAATCTAAGAATACACTCTTAATTAGTATGAGTTCTTTGGGTAAACCCAAAGCAAAGCCATGGGAGCTTATGCTCGGACAATTTTTTTTATTTTTTACCCTAACTCAAGGAGAATTTATGATTTCTTGGTTTGTTAATCATATTTACTTGTTTTTTTTTTTACCCTAAATCAAGAAAATTTATGATTTCTTGGTTTGTTACTAAATCTATGATTTCAGGTTTGTTACAATGTAATCCTGTTATACACATCTATAAATACATGAGGTCGTGACCCATATAGGTTACAGTACCATTCAACCTAACATGGTATCAAAGCCATGCCCTAAACTTTTCCATGTCAATAGAATCCTCAAATGTTGAACAAAAGTATTGTGAGCCTTGAACGCATAGTATAAAATGATTAAGACTCCAAAAGAAAAGGACTCGAGCCTCGATTAAGGGGAGACATACTTTGTTCGAGGGGAAATGCTGGATGAAAGTCCTACATCGACTAATTTAAGGAATGATTATGAGTTTATAATAAAAAAAGTACTATATCCATTTGGTGTGAGACCTTTTGAGGAAACCCAAAGCAAAGCCATGAAAGCTTATTATCAAAATGGACAATATCATATCATTATAGAAATCGTGTTCATTTAACGTACATTGACTTAGTTTAGTTTGTTCATAGTAGAGTAACACATCAATGTTATAACAATCCCTTCAATCAGGGAATTTACCAACCGAAGTCATTACCATGCAACTTTTAGCATCCCAGGTTCATCCTTGGGAGATTCTTTTTTCTGTTTAATGAGATTACTAATTTTACTTACATTTTCTTGTCCATGAATCTTCCAACACTTCAGAACTAACGATCACCAATCAAACTTGTATAAAATTGACAACAATTAACAAAATATGGCATGGTTAGATAGAACAAGTGGAACGTAAGTTGCAAATACTAGATCATGAACAAGGAGTTGTAGCATGAGTGTGATGTTGTGGTTCGTTTTGTCAGAGTGGATCGGTGACATATACTTGAACAATGTTCAAAAGGTCTCATATCAAAGAAATAATGGTTCTCACTTACATATATTTATGATCTCTTATTAACGTAAGACTCCAACAATTCTCAGCAGCTATCATATATGTTATTAAGGAAATTATCGAAACCAACATGATACTAAAAATAAAGCCTACTTAAATTTAAATCGACCCTCAAGTACATGCAAAATATAAAATTGTATACACCAATGACATCTTTTCCTGTGATCCTATTTTCTAAAAGAATTCTATTTTAGTTTTCAAAAGACTATTTATAAATTTTTTAAAGTGAGGCGCAAAAAAAAAAAAAAAAAAAA